CCACCCCATCCCATCCTCTTTCTCCTTCTTCAAACTCTACATTCAAAGTACATTTTCTCGTTAAACACATAAACAAAAAGAATCACATTCAAGACCCACATAATTTTTTTTACTCTTTACTTTGGAGATTTGATTTTTCTTAAAAAGTTATGAATTTTTTTGAAAAAGAAAGACTTGGGCATAAAAGCAGATGAGGTTTTGTCAACCGATCTATAATGTTAATGGTTGGCAATGGCGATTGAAGCAATGGGTAGGAAAGTTTTTTTTTTTTTTAAAAAAAAATCACCACAAATAAATGTGTTTTTTCTTGAATTAGACCTTGATTAGTATATAAAAATAAAATAAAATGAAGAATACCGACAATTGACATGGCAGTAAATGATGTTGAGTATTGAAAAAAAATCACTGCTAATGATTTCAATATTTCTTAAACTAATTAAGAACTAAAGATTAACTAGTATTTAAATATTCTGAAAAGGAAAGAAAGAAATGAATTTAAAAAATCAAAAATCAAATTTTAGAGAATTTCCAATGTGGCTATGATATGGCGCTTATGTGGTTCTAATGTGTCAATGACGTGGCGTGTGTGTAATACACTTGCCAACTTGAGACTGGTATTACATTTTTAGGGTGATATAAATTCATTTCAAATATGTTAAGGGGGATAAATAATTACCCGTAAAATTTAAGTACTAAAGTAAGTTTTCGTGTCAAATTCAAGGTTTTTTTTTATGTATTTTCCCTAATTTAAATATTGTATATGTCACACTCACCATACATATACAATTTGATTTCTCTATAATATTTAATCCTCTGCAATAATATTTTGCTTTTTGCATGTATGTTTGAACTAATATCTCATGACATTCATATAATAACAATATTTTATTATAACAATTAAAATTTTGAACTGATAATATAATAAAAAAGTTACACACTAAGATATTTTCCAAATTATTACATCATGATGGCCCATTAATCCACATGGCTTCCAAAGTTTGGTTTCACAAGTTTCTATCATAAAAGAAGCACTATAAAAGGCAAATATCAATGAACCAATCTTTTCCCAATTTCTATTTATTATTCTTATTCTATTTTCCACTAAAACATATCCCCTTTTTTATACTCACTTTTGACCCATGCAACTATACTCAATTGTTAATCCAACCTTCCCACTTTCCTTCTAATCCAAAGAGGTCACCATCATCACAATATTCTTTGTAAAAGAATGATTAATTACTCAAAACATTCATTATGTTCCATAATTTTAGTCTATCCCCAAAGAATCCAATATTTGAATGGATTCAAAATTAGAATAATTATCCAATGGGTGGTTGAGGTGACTAATATCTTTTTTGACAAAGATTTAGCATTGTGCATTTGAACTATTATTCCAACATTATAAAGTAAACAAAATCTCAAGTGGTAAACATTAGAAAAAATTGATTGATGCACGAAATATTTCATATTTATGTAGGGTTTAAGAAAGATATATTCTTTAAATATGTTGATTCATTTTCACAGTTCAAATTTATGAATTGCACATTTATCAAAATAATTTTACTATTGCTCTGATACTATCCTTTTAAGTTATAAGACCTTAGTCAAATTAAATTATTTAGTTGACTTTTATGCTCAATTGTATTTAAGTGGTTATTCATACTTTATAGTTAGCAAATTATATCGCATTTGGTTTTGACCTTAACATATAACTTCAACATTGTTTATAACCAATTTTTATCGAATTTATTTTAACATGTGAATTCATTAATTTCATATTGAAGTTCATTAAATCAAAATAAAAATACTTTCTCTGTTCCATTTTATTTGTCCAATTTTTACTTTTTACTTGTCATTTATATAAATAAATAAAAAGACCATATTTTTTATCTACTACACTCTCAATTTATTTAGAGAGTTAATATTTTTGAGAAAGATAGATCATGTTTAATGAGTAAATTGATTTTGGAATTCTCTCAATTAATAGGGGTAAAATAATAAACTCACTATGTCAATTATTATTTTCTGAATAAGTGTACCAAGTAAAAAATGAATAAGTAAATAGGGACAAAGAAAGTACAAGCTAATTTGCTAATATATATATTCGTAGAAAACAATTTGTTTTATTTATTTTAGAAGAAATAATATTTGGATTGGGAGTCTTGATGGACAAACAATATTTTTATATTTGTATATTTTAACTCGCGGTTGGATATGCAAAATGAAATTATTTAACATGACACTTTTGTGTCTTAGATGTGGGGCATGTAAGTTTACTTGTTCAATTTTATACAAGTTTAAGTTTATATTTGTGCACATTCAAAATTAGAGGGTCAAGTTAAATGTCATATTTATGTATAATGTCATTATAATATGATACTAAATTAGTTTTTGAATATGTAATTTGGTATTATAATTTGATATGAAGAGATTCTTGTAGGCATCATACATAAATGTGTCCTCTCTCTATATATAAGATATAATACATCAACGTGACCTTCAACTTGACTTCAACTAACATATATGTCCTTCAGCTTTGAGTCAGAGGCGTATCTAGAGGGGGTGCCGTGGGTTCACGTGAACCCATGCTCCCCTCTCTAGATCATATATCGTAGTGTTATATTTTTTTAAAAATATTTAAATATAGATGTGTGAACCCATGTTCAAAGTATCGTATAATAATGCGATGATGATTGGGTGCACTTCTCTAAGTGAGAGATAGAACTTTAAATCTTATATCTATCTTGTCTGTTTGAGTAACACTTTTTCAAGTGGTTTTCAGTTACACTTTTGTTGTTTCAACTAATTTTTCTTTTGTTTTTTTCCTTTATTCTTTCAAAATTTTCAAGTGTGTTACATTGAGAATTCCTAAAAAATTTAGCATTGTAATTTTTTTATATAATTAAATCAAATGTGTATATTAAAATTTAAAACTAGTAGTATTATATATTTTTGACCTATAATTTTAAACTTTAATGGTTCATATTACGAACTAAAAGTCAAATTGATCAAATTTATATTTAAGATACATTTTTTCGTAATCGTGCACCCATCTAGCCGAAATCCTGAATACGCCTCTGCTTTGAGTGCGCACAAGTTGATACTTAAGCTTGTATAAAATTGAACTAAAGACACATTCGTTTTTACATGTGTTCAATATGGCAATTTTGTGTCCTATGTGGAGTCATACGTGTATTATATATATATATATATAAGACATAATACGTCAACGTGCTCTTCAACTTGGCTTCAACTAATATCTATGCCCTCCAATTTTGATAGTGCACAAGTAGACACTTAAACTTGTATAAAATTGAACATATCGAGACACATTCATTTTATGTGATGTCCCACGTGACAATTTTATATGCTACGTGAAGTCCTACCTATATTATGCCACGTATTGAACCAATCCTTAAAATACTCAAAATTGTTCAGTGCTCTCATAAATCGCATCTCTCCAATGCGTTTTATGAGCAAACTTTTCGGGCTGAAATTTCCCAGCTGAATGGGACTATTTCCTACTAATATACTGTCCCATTATTTTTTATGATATCTTTTCTCCCCCTTGATTTATTAGTTTTTGATTTAACTCCTTCTAAAGAAAAAATATATTACTGTAAATAGTAAATATTAACTAAAATGAAGTTAAATTTATTCCATATTTTATTTGAGATATTACCTAAAATTAATATTATTTTTATACCAAAATTTTGATATAATATATCTCATACTTCCTTTGTCCCTACTTACTTGTCCACTTTTAAATTGACACACCTATTAACAAAACAATTATTGACATAATGAGTTTACCAATTTACCTCTATTAATTATGAAGTGGAGCTTTTCAAGAAGTTCTACCTTTTTCAAAGTAATTAATTGAGGGTATAATAGGTGAAAAAAATATCGTTTTTTGATTTGTCAAAATAGACAAGTAATTAGGTACAACTAAAAAGGGAAAAATAAACAAATAATTAAGAACATAGGGAGTATAAAGATAAGATCAACTGTCCAATTCTAATCTTAGTTATAGTTTAGGATAATAATTTTAGATATTTTCATATTGAAATTAAATTTCTTTCATATTTGATCGGAGATATTAATTAAAATCGATATTATTTGTAAACCAAAACTTTTGTATAGTTTATCTCATATAAAAATCAACTATCAAATTTTAATCTTAATTATAATTCAGGGTAATAATTTTAGATATTCCTATTTTGAAATTAAATTTATTCTATGTTTGATCGGAAATATTAATAAAAATCAATATTATTTGTAAACTAAAATTTTGGTATAGTTTAATGTTTATCTCATTTAAAAAATAAGATCAACAATCAAATTCTAATCTTAATTATAATTCAAGATAATTCTAGAATATTCTCATTTTGAAATTAAGTTTATTCCATATTTGATCAAATATATTAATTATAAATAAAAGCAATATAATTTATATACCAAAATTTTGATATAGTTTATATTTATATCCCATGTAAAAGATAATAAGACCAATATTCTTAATCATAATTCAGTATAATAATTTTAGATATTCCTATTTTTAAATTAATTTTGCTCCACATTTGATTGAAGATATAAATTAAAATCAATATTATTTATATACCAAAATTTTGGTATAATTTATCTTATATAAAAAATAAGATCAACCATCAAATTCTAATCTTAATTAATTATAATTCAAGAATATTCCCCCGTTTTGATCATACAACCCTTAAAGATATGAAAAAATAACATTTTTCTAATATAAAAATGGGTAAAAATCACGAAACCTATCAATAAGATAAAAGTTCAAATATGTAATTGACCTACTTATATATAACAGAAAAAAAATATATTTCTACGATAATCGCCACGTCAACACCCCTTAACTCAACCCAAGTTAATTTATCAAAACCCTAACCACCCCACACCCCCTCAAAAAACCCCTATATATACTCCCACCACTTCAACATTTGTCCTCTCTTCTCCTTTCTCTCCATTTTGCTCAAAAGAGTGACAACACATACATTATAACGTATGCATCATTTCTCTCTCGATCATATCGAAAACCCTAGCTTAAAATCATCAAATTAGGGTTCCAAATCGGTGTAAATGTGATTTTTTTGTTGAATGATACATTGAATCGGTGTAAAATTTGAGTGATTTTTTATTTTGATTTGTGTTTCTGTATCAATGGCGGAGCGAATGAGGAGATTTGGAGTAGGTTACGCTTTGGCACCGAAGAAACAAGCGAGTTTCATACAGGTATCGCTTGTTAACCTAGCGAAGGAACGAGGAATCGATCTCGTTAAGATCGATATGGATAAGCCTTTGATTGAACAAGGACCGTTCGATTGTGTTCTTCATAAGCTGTATGGTGATGATTGGAAGCGGCAATTGGAGGAGTATGCTTTGAAATATCCTCATGTGTTGATTATTGATTCGCTTGAGGCGATTGAGCGGTTGCATAATCGGATTTCGATGCTTCAGGTGGCGACTGAGCTGGAAATCAAGTGTGAAACGACCTCGTTTGGGATTCCTAAACAGACTGTTGTGTATGATGCGAAAATAGTGTCGGCGAGTTATTTGGAGAGTGAGGGATTGAAGTTTCCTGTGATTGCGAAACCGTTGGTGGCTGATGGAAGTGCGAAATCGCATAAGATGTTGTTGGTGTTTAATAAGGATGGGTTGAGTAAACTGAAACCGCCTATAGTTTTGCAGGAGTTTGTGAATCATGGGGCTGTGATTTTTAAGGTTTATGTGGTTGGTGATTATGTGAAGTGTGTGAAGAGGAAGTCGTTACCTGATGTGATGGAGGAGAATTTAGGGAAATTAGAGAGTTATTTATCGTTTTCGCAGGTTTCAAATTTGAACACTTGTGAAAAAAATGATGATAAATACTATAAGCTGATGAATTTGGATGATGCTGAATTGCCCCCATTGAGTTTTCTGAAGGAGATAGCAAGAGGGCTCAGACGAGCTACGAAACTGTATCTCTTTAATTTTGATTTGATTAGGGATAATAGGGTTGGAAATAAATACCTTGTTATTGACATTAACTATTTCCCTGGGTATGCAAAGATGCCGAATTATGAGAGTGTGATGACAGACTTTTTCTGGGATGTGCTGAATAAGAATGATAAGGGTTTTGAGAATTTACAGAAGGGCAGTTGTGAAAAGGAGGTGAGGTTGTTAGTTGGGAATAAAGGGTATGGTGAGGATGAAGGGACATTACCAGTTTCACCTCTTAAGAGGGAAGAAAAGGAGAATACTATTCAGGTCTAAGAAGGGACATTTGCGTGGCTTGCGCGGGTGGCCAAGGGTCAGTCAGACGATTTGGTCAAGATGCTGTTTTGCAGGTGTTACTGGTAAAGCTGCAGGGATTTCTTCTAGGTAGGGAGTTAGTATAGAAGGGAATAAGTAGGTTCCTGAGATGGCCTTCTGAAGGCAGTAGATGCTGTTCTTTGTTGAAACATGTACATTCTATCTTTGCAGTCGAGATAGGTACTTTGCAGATACTCTTTTTCTAGGAAAGTTTAGTTTTTTAAAGGCTATTGTATTTCATTGGTAACAATATTTCAATATGTGCCTTTAACAACTTTGATCAATGAAATGTGCTGTATTCTCAATGAGTGTCATACTATATTTCCATCATTTTCTTCTGTTTTGCAGTCCAATATAATTGCATGTGGTTTTCATATCCTAAATAGTGTTTTCTTTCTGTTTATATATTTCAGTGTCCTAAGAGGAATATAGCTTGGTGAATATTTTTTCCACTTTGGTGTTTTACATGAATAACTCTTTATTATACTGTCTTGTTCATGGAAGTTAATGTGAATTATGTCAGCATGACTGCAAGAATATTCCTTTTCTGGACCACAACCCAAACAAGACTGTTCAGACTGAGATCATATTCATTAGCTTTTGTAGCATAACAGTGAATTCATATTAATTGTCAGATTCTTATGCTGTATGTGGGGATGAGAGGCAACTTACCATGAGTGTTCACCTTTATAGACTTGTCAAGTTGAAGGTTAATTCTTCACTTGAGAATTAGATTCTCTGGTATTGAGGCTTGGCATGCAGTATTCGGACCTTTTTATTTAATGGTTATCATTTACTTTTGCCATTGAATTTCTCTTTTATGCTAGGGTTACTGTGTTCTTCATTTGTGTTAGAGTGACTGCTCCGTTTTGATACTTAAGTACTTGAGCGTTTCAAATGTGAAGAAACAAAAAAAGAATTGTCACTGCCTTTTGTTTTCTGAAATTTGTGGATCACAATTTTGCCATTGGTGAACTTTTTTTCAAAGATCCATCTGATCTTATTTGTCAGTTTGATTCTTGAACATGATGAAGATTGATTAGATAGCACGAATGCAATTATACCAGGGGACAGGTTCCCACTGTGTTTATCCTTGTATTGATGTCCTGTCGACAACTCACTGAAAAGAGAACTTAACCTTCTTATGTTACTAATGATCTTTCAATTACTGCCAATCCTTTGTACTCTTGCTTTTATGACTCTTTCATGTGGATGGACTCGTTGAGTTGCCAGAGATCAATCAGAGCTATTTGGGGAAGCCAAGGTTTCTGCTGTTATACAGTTCACTTTGAATTTGGGCTGTAGTAATTCTCGTTTTCCCTTGAACTACTTAAGCATTGTTGATTGTATGCTTGTCTTGTTTTTTTGTCTCTCTATATCAATACCTTGGAGAAATTAACGACTGACAAAAGGATGAACAGAAACCTGTCCATTGTAGTTGCACTCCACCAAAATTTTAAGAGTAGATGATCTTCTGTGGATCTGCAAGCCTTTGCATTATACACTCCTTTTCTCTGCCACTTTGCTTCTCTGGTGTACTCCTATGTTTTTTTGGTAAGAAAAGAAAGAAAAGAAAAAAGCTTGACAAAAACCGGATCCCATGAATCTCTTTTAAATGACCTGCATGAGAGTGACATTCATTTTGCCACCTAATTTATGGGAGCATTTCACTTGTTATGGTTGGAGAAGGTATATCTTCCATTATCTTGTTCTCTTAAGTTTTTGTTGGTCCATGAGACCGTTTTTACGATGCATTTTAGAGTATATCATCATTTCTGTTTGGTAAAGGTTTCTTTTCCTTTAAGAGGATATGCATGTGTACAATAAGGAAAAGAAATGAGTTATGGCTTGGGATTCTATTTATTGAATCAATATGTCTCTTAGGGTTCTAACTACACTTTAATATCTTTTATCAATGTATTCGTTTTCAGGAAAGACACTTGTTTTCGGTCATTGTTTTGACAAAAATATCTCAGAAAATAGCTCGCGTTTATCGTGCTGACTTATTATGCAAGTCTTAGACCGAGTGAGTTGATGTCACTGTATTTACTTCTCTCTCCCTCTGTTTCATTTTATGTATACTAATTTGACTAGACATGAAGTTTAAGAATGTAAAGTAGACTTTTGAATCTGTCTTAAACTAAAGGTATGCATAACATACCAAAAACACCCTTTGATCTTTTGTCTTAAACATGCCATGTCATTCCTATAACGAACTCATAAGTTTAAATGGAGGGAGTACATATTTGGACACAAGGACCTGAAGAAGTAGGTTTTGGATTATGAGTTAGCTTGATATTTTTGGTCTCCATTATCTTTAATTTATAGACATTTTTCCACTTGACATGCATCATTTCTGTTATTTGACGATGCAAATAACATAAAGGCTTTGGCTTTTTTGTTTGCTACTCCATTGGTTAGATAGTAATGATAAATGATTTCAGCTTGATATAGATTGCATTTATATGACTCTGTTGACGAGATAACTTTCTTATTTAGTTGCTTAACTGTGCGATATTGAATTAGCAAAAGTTTTCTTGCATGATTTTGACATGGGAGCAAGATGGCATTTTAATTGAGTTGCATGGATTGAATTGGCAAAATCCCTAGTGCTGGGAAACTGTGAAATGTAATACTAGACAAAAAAATTAGCTTTATGAACAACCATGTCTATACTTTTAGTGTGTGCACTTACAGCCAGTTAGATACTCTGCGTGCTTGTGTCTCACATGTCACATTAGCATCTTGGTTATGTACTCCTTTTAACTGCATCTTTTGTTTCCTGGAATGACACAAAATATGTATGGAGACATTCTTTGCAGGAAGGAGGGAGAATTGCACAATTGATTTTGATCCTCGACTTGACCAGCCAAAATTGCTCTCACTGTGTAGATTTTTCGTTGATGAGGACCTGTACGGCCCTTAAATAGAAAGATGATGTATCAGAAGTCAGAGCAACTTATTTCCTTGTTTTGATGCTGAGTATGTGCATAATATTCTCAATCTTTAAGAAAAGGAAATGGTAAAATACATTCGCATTCTTCAGAAAAGAAAATGGTACAGGTATTTCTCTTTCTTCTTCTTGCCTTGTATGAGTGGCTTCTCGTTTAAATTTTTTCATTTTCTTAACAGGTTAGTTTCTAAATATAGTGTGTCATGGATGACTTCCTAGGGATTCCTTTTCTTTTTATCCTTTAGCTGTATGAGAACTGATTCGTTAGGCTGCTCTTCTACGTTTATGCACAAAATTATAAGTAGGCGTCAGTAGCAGAGATTACAATAGCAAAGAAGGAAAGAGAAACAATGGATACATTATTAGATTTCCAATCTGACGCATTAAATCAGATATTTGGTCATTCAGGGGAAACTTATAATGTTCAGTGATGTGCTCTTTCCTTAAGAGGGAAGTTACGATTTAAGAAGTTCAAATCTGAGCTAATTGAAATGCATTGTGATGTGCTCTTTCCTTAAGAGGGAAGTTACGATTTAAGAAGTTCAAATTTGAGCTAATTGAAATGCATTTCAGAAATACTCTTCAGTTTTAACAATTATACAGAGGCTCAGATGCATGATGGTACATTGACCTTATAGTAATATCTTCAAACTCCTTCAGTTCTGTAGATCCACTGCCCTATATTTCAATCTTCTTCCCTTCTCTGACTTGCATTGGTTACTTCTCAGCAGTGTTGTGATGTTGCTTTATCTGAAATTTATTGTGATTTCTTTTTGTGTCAGAAAGTGTTGTGCTCTTCCTGAAAGCTATCAAGGACAGGTAGTATACTTGGCCTTGAGGTTCTGATACTGAATATTTTTGTTGGGCATCTAACCAGATAACAGTTTGTGATACCCAAAGTGTCTGATATGGCGCAGAGACATAATTTTTCAAAAAAATTGCGGATGTGCTAATCAGACTCGGGTAAGCTAACCAAGGACCTGCACTTGAACTGGTGAAAGTGTTTAATTTTTGGGGTTGCTTGACGCCCACTGGATTTCACCTCTTTCTATAATGGTGACTTAACTGATTTTTGACACCTGACGTTCCTAGAGGCATACCATCAGAAAAAACTTCCTTGACCGATTGGGTAGATCAAGAAAACTGTGGTAGCAGCTGCAACAGGAGCTGAATATGCAACAGCAAACCAAGGTTGCACACCCAGCCGGAAGCTAAGCTCCCACTCACGACCCATGTAACAAGCTACGCCAAGTAAGAAGTGTAGAATGTATCATTCTTTTTGGTGTACGCATCTTTGGCATACTAGATAGATTGGGGTTTTTTTTGGCTCTGTAACTTGAGTAACCATAGCCTTTGTATATACATACAATATACATTCACCAATACTATGGGCCCCTTTTTGGGCTATAGAGAACTCAAGATCTGAATCTACTGAGATATCCATTAACTAACTCCAACATTTGTTGGCCCAAAGTTGAGTAATATGACTTGATATAGTTTTGTGGATGGAAAAAAAAAATTTACATGAAAAAAATGGTCAATTCTATTACCAAATAATGTTGTGAATTCTTTTTTTCAAGAAGAAAGATTTTTTTTTTGTCCAAACGGCTCTAATAAATATAATTAATTATATTAAAATCAAGTAGTTATAAGTGAATTAAAAATATAATTTCTAAAAATAAATTAAATTATAAATCAGAAGACTTTTAAAACTTGTGATACTTATTTAATTGAGTTTACATTAAAACTAAATCATGATTTATGATTAGATTTATTTATTTTTATATTAAGGTTATGAATTTAAGTTAGTTAATTTAGTGTTTTTTAACCAACAATGTAGAGATTTGAAGAAGGAAAAATAGATAAGAAATAGAAAATGACAAATTAAAAATAACGTAAAATAACGCATGAATATTTTTTTTTGGACATATTTTCTATCTTTTACACGCTACAAAGACAATTTCAGATTTTATTGATAAATCACATTCAACGAATGCGTTTTATGTCTTTCCTTGTTGTCCCTCTTAATAACATTTGTGGAACTACAAATTTGCATATATGCTCTCTTATTAAACAAGAAGAACTTCACATTATTATTACATATATTACAGAAATTAGACTTATCCCAATATAGTTATAGAGATTATTTTGTGTCTTGCTACTTATAATCCTGGAGCGGATACTTCTTTTTTGAGTCGAGGATCTATTGAAAATAGATTCTCTACTTTGTAAA